TTTGAATTGTCTTTGCAGGATTTGCGGTTGGCTCGATTAATGGACGTGTAGCATTGGAGATTTCCTGTCCATCCAGTTCGGATGACATCAGGTCAATTCCTGGAGTCTATGTGATATTATGATTGGCATATCCAAACCTGGCATGCTACATGACATGCCTTGTATGTATACAAACTGTCATTTCTTATGTTCTACTTTGTTCTGTTTGGAAGGAAGAAAAAAATAATGTTACTTGTTAACATTTGTTTCAGATATATGTTCCGGTGTCATCCAAAGTCAACTGCTAAGAGATATCACCTAGCATCGGTGAATGACATTGCATTCAATCCGCTGTATGTGTAACTCTAATATTCTATCAGCTTTGACCAACTTCAATTGAAAACTTACTTTCTACTTGATGTTTCTGATCTAGCATCTTCAGCGCCTTTGTTACCAGTGACAATGATGTTTATGTTACCGCATGGGATGCTACACAGGGGACAACTTCTGGTTGTTGCATCAAGCTACACATATCAAGAAGCTAATGAAATGTGAGCACGCTACTACTAAGATTTACTATTTCTCAATCCTCCTATAATCCCAGTATTATATATCTTTCTTGTCCACTTCCATTCATCAGAGAAGAGCTTCCTCTGGTATTCGTACATGAAGTTGGCAATGACAACATGAGATCTGTATCTGTTGGAAGTTCAAGCAGAAACTAATTGTACACCGTCAGATGAAGGTAATGAACTGCTAAATGTGTTCAATTTCTGTGTAATTTTCAGGATCATGTGTGAAGCCATGATGTTTGCAGGGTCCTTGTATATTAAGCATTGTCCTTTTTTATGAAAGTTGTACCCGCCGAAGTTGATTTTGATATGCAGATGAACAGAAATCAGCTGCAAAGGTAGAGTTTTAGGAATTGCACCTGCTGTATAATGTCGGTGGTTAACTTATGTACCGTTCCTCTAGAGTCTAGACAGATACCACTTTCATGGGTTTTGTTTAGTTTCTGCTGATTGGATCCATGAGTTTTAAATGGAAAAGCATGAAGCTTGGTTGTTTGTATTAATATGTAAACTTTGCAATCACCACCGATGATATGTTGAATTCTTTTGCGCATTAGCCTGCAAAGTGATGAAACCATTTGCCCCTGTTTCCGTTTTGCGCCGGTGATATGTTCGATCTTCTATTTACCTTCGAATAAATTGATATCTTAATTGAATAGAACACTAACATATTCACAAAGAGCAGATGTGCATTGTCATTGTTTCAATATAACATGTATTGATAAATGTTGGCAACAATAACATCAACACATTAGTAATCAGGCTCTTTATGCAAAGGGATTCTCATTTTTTTCTAAAAATAGGGATTAGGTATGGGGCTCACTTCACATCGAACTACAATGATCCAAACCATCTATTTTGTAAGTCTCGATTCATAGATCATAGTTGCAAAAATTCATTCCAATCCGAAATCATTTACCTATTTAATTATCAAGATAAAATTTCATTGTTTCTTGTATAACAAAATATTCGTTAATTTCTTTGAACCCAATTAGATGTTTTAAACATTTCTGATTTGGCTAATATTTTGTAGAGATGATCTATGAGGTGTAACTTGAAAAATAGACGGTTCAGATCGTTAAAGTTCAATGTAATGTGGACCTCACAACAAATTCCAATTTTTATAAAAAAAAAAGTTGAAATCCCTTCGGTTAAAGACTTCTTAGCGTATCGGCAAATGAGACGTTTGTCCCATAGCTGACTAGAAGATAATGTACAAATGGGCCTAATTGTATGGTTTCATTGTTGGCCGGCCCATAATAGGAACCGAAAAAGGATAAAATGAAAAAAAATTAAAAAAAACAAAAATGGAAAGACAAAGTGTGTGCAGGTGCAAAACAAAAAATCCGAGGCCGAGAAGAGCAGCCCACGTGCTAAATCCGCATTCGCGCGTCAATCATACGCAACAAATGATATTTTAATCAGTGCAAAGTCAAGCAATCCAACGGTGGACAGCGACCCTCACAGTCGCAGCATCTTTTAAACCAAAAAATAAAATAAAATATAAAAAGTATTTGAAACCAGAAGCCGTAGAGGGCTCGTCCTCTTCCCATTTCCTTGCGAAATATAAATACCATCCATCACTTGTAACCCTTCCTCCGCGTATCTCCTCCCCCTCCATCCTCCCTCGAGCTTTCTCTCTTACCTCTCTCAGTGCGATCAGAACCAGCCATGTCGGACGAGGAGCATCACTTTGAATCGAAGGCCGACGCCGGAGCTTCCAAGACCTACCCTCAGCAGGCCGGTACTATCCGCAAGAACGGTTACATTGTCATCAAGGGCAGGCCATGCAAGGTTCGACTCCTTGATTTTCTTTCGATCTGCATGTATTTTAGGGCTCTGATTTCAGATATTCGCGGGATTTCGTTCGATCATTATATTTGTTTGCATGCCGTATGGATTTGTTGATGAATTCTCTCTCCTGTGCAGGATTATGATCGGTACTTCTTTATTGAGATCGGAGTTTAGTTTTTGCGATTTTATTGTTTTCCGATTTTGTTCCTTCTCTGACTGATTGGATAGTGTTGAGCTGATGATCAATTATGTATGAAATTATTTGATTTTGATTTGCTACTGCTACTGATTGCTGCTATCTACCTGTGACTGATAATAACTATGCACATATATACATATTACTTACACCTATATATGCGCGAGCATATATTCATACACGTATATATGTATACACATATATCCGTACACACGTATATATGTATACACATGTATCCGTACACACGTATATATACACACATATATACATGCACAAACGTATACATATACACAGATATACACACACGTATATATGCGCGCATACACACACAGATATATAGCTGATGTCTTGAAAATATAGATGATACTTGTTCTAAGCTGAGCTCTGATTGCTTCTCCACTGCTATGTCTGAATAATTTTTAATTTTTGTTTACGTTTTCATTTTTTGTTTTTGTTTTGTGGCTGTCCGTTGTTAGGGAGTGAATATATTTGTTGAATCGATTGTGTAAGGTCGTCTCGTCGATGGTATTATATCAGATTGGATTTATGTTGGTGGCTGTGATATGAACGTGAAAGAACAACCAACTAATGGAATGTTGTGGGTCTGCTCTTTCTTTTGTCTTTTGTCACAGGTTGTGGAAGTTTCCACCTCCAAGACTGGAAAGCACGGTCATGCCAAGTGCCACTTTGTCGGTATCGACATCTTCACTGCCAAGAAGCTTGAGGATATTGTTCCATCTTCCCACAATTGTGATGTACGAACCCCCTTAAGTTTGTTTGATTTATATGTAAGCACGTCGTTTGTTTCTTTCGTTGGTATATCAATGTTTGTATCTTTGTATTGTAGGTTCCACATGTCAACCGTACTGACTACCAGCTGATCGATATCTCTGAGGATGGATTTGTAAGACTGCACTTTCGTTTGTTGTTATAAGATTCATTGATTTCATTGTATGTTGCTTGTTACTTGGATGTTCCCACTAGTTTACAATGCTTACCCTGACTTGAACCATAATCTGTTGCTTACTGAAGGTGAGTCTGCTGACTGAGAATGGTAACACCAAGGACGACCTGAGACTTCCAACCGATGACAATCTGCTTACGCAGGTTAGTTTTGTAACATTCGCCTCTTCCACTTAGTTTGAATGGTATAGTGTGCTTGTACATGTTTGTTGGGGCTTCAATTGTCTTAGTGTTGTCCATGCTGCTAGTTCGGCTTTATTCCCGAACGACTGTAGAATCCATGTCTGCTGGAGGATTTACTTTTATTGTGGGTGTTACTTGCATGAAATTTGGTTTAAAACTTTTTGTCATGTTTTTATTTTCACCAGACGCAGAGTCAACTTTATGATGTTTCTTCCCGTTTTTACTGTTCGACGCATTTTAAAACTTCTTTCCTTTGCTTAACTAATGTTATATAATTACGTTTCCTGCTGGTTATCCCTGTAGAATCTTAATTGGTTATTTTCTTGGTATTTTATGCAGATCAAGGATGGGTTTGCAGAGGGGAAGGATCTGGTTGTTTCTGTCATGTCTGCTATGGGAGAGGAGCAGATTTGCGCCCTGAAGGACATCGGTCCCAAATAGATGCCCTTCGTTCTTCGGGAACGTTAGCTTTCAGATATAAAATGGAACGGTTAATAGAAACTTTCGGGTCACCCCTTTCAGGAACTAGTGTTCTTGATTAGAGGTGGCCTTGGGTTATAAGTTAATGTTGCCATTAATTAGCGTGTCGTTATCAATATTTTTGTTCTGTTACTGTTCTGAATCATGCCCCCAATTTCATGGTATTGGCAAGAGTTATATTGAAGACTGTATAGTACCTTCACTTGTTCTTGGTTCGAAATTTCACGGTCCTTGTTTTCGTCACCCGATGGATTCTTCTTGTTGCATTGTGTTTGCCTGGTGTTTCTGTGTTAAATTACTCTTTACCAAATAATCGACGGTGAGGCTGGTGTCGTACAACCGAGTCGGTTTCTTTCCGGTTGGTTGTTTTCCTTTGGTAACTTGATGGTCTGTTTGGTGTTTTGGAGCTGGTTTGGATCTACTTCTCTATATCGCTGCAAACCCGGCACGAGGAGTTTCCAAAACATTTGACTCTTCACCCATTCCAATATAAAGGATTCGTCAATCAAATAATAGGTAGTAAATGGTCATTTGAAAAGTAAATGAATTGCTAGTTGTAAAATATTTATTCTCGTCAGACTTAACCCCAACTAAAATAACAAGGGTTTGGACGATTTTGACCTAGTTACTCTTCAGAATGGAGTGGAAGAAGAGGAGATTCTTGAATGAGAAAATGATCTAATGACTTCAAAAGAATCGAACAAGGAGTGGTTTGAGGTGATATTTTTATGTACGGTTATGTAGAGTGATAGTAAGAATGACTTATCTAGCAATTTTTTCACTATTACCCCCAAAAACACCACCGTGCCTTGGTTAAAATTGCGAGAGTACGCTTAACCTCTGAATTTGAAACCACTCATTATATACCTAGTTTTGAGGACCGATGAATCATAAACGACCAGAGTTGGCTGGCCTGTCGCAGCGGGTAATGAATTTGTTTTTACCTCAAACACTCAATTGTCTGATCTTGTATCGAGACAGTTCATATAATCATAAGTGGTTAACATCTATGTCTTCTCCAAACGCCGACTTCTTTCTTGTGTTGGTCTCCGAATGTTTACGTTTAACACCTCGATTGTTCATAACAGCAAAAGTGATCGATCATTCATTCGAAAACCGGATTGCCGTTCCAAGCCAGTCATCTGGAATGCTGCCTTTCAACTCTCCATTCAATGCCCTCAAAGCATGGGTTGTTGCTGCCTTCACAATGTACACATCGATTCCGAGTTTTGCAATCGCGGCAGCTTCCGATATCTTGGTCAGCATTCCGCCTGTTGTATCATGGGCTGCTGCTTCTGTCTCAACTGTTGACATGACAACCATGCAGGATCTGGCATTAGCTGAAGCATGCTTAATGCTTAATAATACACACACATAACAGATGCTAGTAACTTGAACAAATTCGGGATCAATTCCCATTTTGGCACAGCCAACAATAACGAAAACAAAGCTCGTAACGTGTTGGGTTCATTCGCACCTTGCTTATTCATGTTCTCAAGTGTTGGGCTCACGATCGACCAGCTCCCATCTTTAGCCACAGCTACAGTTGACAAACTTTGAATAAGTCAATACAATTCAACGAATAAAAACAAAACTCCATTTCTGTGCAAATCCAGGATTAGTAAGACTGCTTACCGATTTCTCTCAAGAGTACTGCATTTGGTTCCGACGGTGGACGGTCATAAACCCCAAAAACATCAGTCTTAAATCCACATTAAATAGAAAACAAACATAGGATGTTCATCCACTCATATCAAATGGTAATTTCCTGCCTATCTGACCCCAAGTGGTTGGACTCAGTTTTTCTTTGAGATTAGATGCTTTATGGAAGGAGGATGCATTCTTACTCTCCTAATGCAGGTATTGAGTTTGAGACAGTGGACAGATTACCTCTAGTTCACTTTCGCCTGTGAAGTTTGCTAAAGTAACTGGTTTAGCATTGGTCTCTTACAAAGACTAATGCGAATTTATTGGCCTCAAGTAACTTTTAAGACACTTCTATCAACTATCCAGTTGTGCAGTGTGTTCCGAAGTCATTTCCCAAAATACAAATGCATGAAACTTTCCATTTCGAGACAGTGTGGATACGAGAAAAACAACAAAGTCAGGCTTCAAGTGCGCTGCAAGGTGACTAATGATGACATCTCCACTCAATATGGTACAGTCCTGATTAGGCAAAGCGATTAACAAAGCATCAGTACAAGTTCAATATAAGCAATAAGCTAGTGAACTTCTATAAGAGAGACCAACCAGTAACTCATCGAGCACAGCATCTCCATGCAAAACCTAGGAAGCGTATAGCAATCAACATTAATCACTGAGGGAAAGATGAGAAGAAAAACAGAAACCAACAGCACGTATAAATAATTCATAACACAAAAGGAGGCAGTTCAAAATACGTAAAAAATAGAATGATAGGAAGAATGATAATAATAATATGAACTTACAGGTACTAAACCAGATTCGATAGCCTTGGACACTGCAGACAAATCAGCTGAAGCTATCTGCAGAAAGGGATAACTTACATTAATAAAGAAAATTTAACAATAAGGATAGAGAACATAAAATAACTTTTGGGATCAAAGCATTTAGCGGAAACAAGCCACTGACATTTCTTTCACGGGTCGACCATCCACATGAAAATGGAGACATTCCAATGGAAGGGATACCCTCTGGAAGGAAAACACATAACAATATTCATGAACGTGAAAGTTGGGTGCATTTAAGAACTTAAGCAGATAATAGCATGAAATCATGATAGTGAAATAACAGTTTCATGCAGCTTTGAGAGCCAAACAAAATTGACAAATACCGATTGGTCAAGTAAACTACAGAACTTACAAACTTCTTCAACCGCTAGCTAATAGTATCTCTGATGCATTAGATGCATTGTTAATTTAAAACTGCGAAAGCTGGTTTTTCCTTTGAATCTGTTGATCTTTAGAAATATAGTTTGTGTATGAAAACGTTTGTTAATAGGGTAGATTAATACCTCTGGCTAACGCTCTAACAATTTCTAGATTGAGCTTTGTAACCTGAAATAATTGAAATAAACATGAACATGAAAATGGAGGAATAATCCGAAAGAGACGAAAGCAAACTTAAAGCAAAGTCTATAGATGTGAAGCGAGTCAACGAGGCAGAGTCTTACGGAGATGCGTGTGGCAACAAAACCAGCCTTGACAAGGGGTTGGTACAACCCACCTTTATGAACGCCCGATTTACTAGCTTGAAAATGCCCAAAAGAACCTGAAGCCACCATAGCACACAACATATTAGACGAATACATATCTTTAGAAATTAGTGAAAAGGCTACTTTGTATCTCAACAAACAAATCAAGTTCCAAGTGATGAAATAAACCAAGCAGCTAACCTGCTCCATGAACAACTATAAAGGGGCAGGGGTCCGCAACTGGCCGATGTTCAAAATCAAGTATGGCAGATGAAATTTCTGATTCTCCAGGTTGCTTGCTCCAATCCATCCCAAGCACCTCCCCAGAAGGCGACCCCGTAGCCATTGATTGCCTCAGCTGCGACGAAACCATCTTGAGATTTGCTTCATTTATTGTCTCTAATTCGTTCTTGCAAGTAACTGCTGCACCTCCTAGACTAGGCAAAAAATCGTGTTGTAACAATCTAAGACCAAAATACGAACAAATGATTACAAATGCATTTCATAATTTAGTTTTATAAGCAACCATTCATCCAAACACCTCAGATTTTCCCAGATTGAAACGAATCGGTTTTCCACAGTTTATATTAACAAAGGCTTAAAATTTATCAGCTGCCCATTAATCTAGCACGCCAAAAGCACTTTTCTAGACCTCGTTTGAGCAATCAGCTTTTCTGGGTCAGCGTAAACAAAGCTAGAAATGATCGAAATGAAAATCTGGAGAACAAAAACTCAACCACAAAAGCACAAATTCTGATGCAAATTGAATTCTACCAAAAAGGAATAACTAGATTAACAGACCGAGTTTGACGATGCAGCGAATCGGTTTCGTGAGGCTGACAGAAGCGCTTTGGAGATCATTTGTGTTGGTCTCCTCCATCGTAAATTTGTGGGGTTTCCGGGACCTAAAGCTCTGAGTTTACACTCTCAAAAGTTCTGGGTTTTTAGGGCACGTTTACGTAGGTAATCGGCATCGAGAAACGGAATTGAACTCCGATTACAAATTATTCCGGTGCTTATCATATTTGGGAAATCAAAATTTAGTGGGTCCCATCCAAATTTTGGAATCCAATTCCGAGATTTGGAGGAATTGGACTCCTAACGAGAAACGGAATTGAACTTCGATTACAAATTATTCCGGTGCTTATCATATTTGGGAAATCAAAATTTAGTGGTCCCATCCAAATTTTGGAATCCAATTCCGAGATTTGGAGGAATTGGAGTCCTAACAATTGGATGGCATTTGGATTCCGGAGGATTGAGGGAATGAGGAATCCATTTTTCATACCCATTGTACCCTTGCATAAAAGTTGAAATTCCAAAGAAACCCAAGCTCTGGTCCCCAGAGTTATTATCCCTCTCTTTCTCCCTCACCACCGTCGCACATCCCTTGCCTTTCCATGGACGCAGACCCAACCATCATCATCTTCCACAACAATTAAACCACAAAAGTAGATCAAACCACAGACCAAGAAGAACCTTGCTGCAATTTTAGTAGGTAATCTTATGAACAAAATGTCAAAAACCAAACCCCCACACCAAACCAACATGAAATCACAGCCCTGTAAACTAATCCTTCATAGAAACGATATCATCACCACTACCACTGCCCATAGGCCACAAACCCACCTTCAATTTCAAACTGTTGAGAGATGAGAGAGGCGGAGAAGGAGAGGAACAATTAGGTTGGGGTTTGGTAATTGGTTAGTTTGCTTATTAATTTTATTTTATATCATTTGACTCTCTATTAATCAGCATACAAACTTAATTTAGTATAACAAGGGTATTTTAGTAATCACATTAGTTTCTATTCCGATTTATATGAACTAGTAAATAATTTATATAAGTCAATGTTATTCTTACTCCGATTACAAAAAGTTTAGTAAACAGCTCTAATAATAATCTGATTCTGACTCCACTCCATTTCAATTCCTTCTCAATCTAACACTATGTTTGGATGAAAGAAATAAACATGAAATTTTTGTAAAAGTCAGAATTTATAAATTGACAGACATCAATTCTCTTGTTTGAATTCATAAACATAGAAATTTAGAATTTTCGCGTGGAAAAAAACTTGGAATTTGGGACCTCCAAATCCCAAGTTCAAATTTCATATAAATATGTGTCATTTCTCAATTTCTATAATTGAAAGTTTAAAAATAACAAATTTCATATTTAATTTCATTGTTTTTTTAGGTTAACCAAACAAGAAAATTTACAAATTCTATAAAATAAAATCTCGTCATTTTAATTTTCAGCATTTTTAAATTCCTTAATAATCTTAAATTTCTTCATCCAAACATTCTCTTTATTTTGATTGCGAATTAATAAACAAGTCATTAGTTTCAAAAAAAAAAAAATTCTGGGTTTTTTTACAAAAAAAAAAAAAAAAAGAGTTCAGGGTTTCGTACTCGCAGTCGATGTCAATCAGGTCAAAACCCAAAACCCCACCTCCGATGTTTTTTTATTTTTCTTGTTTCCTTCCCTTTATTGTCACAGGGTTCTCGCGGGAAGACAACAAGAAAAAAAGAAAAGACAAACTTTATTTTCTATTTTAAAATATTTTTTTATCGTACGATATACTATGAACGGACACAATTTACGAATTCTCGGAACCCTCACAAACAGAATCCAAAAAGAATCCGGATTCCAATAAACTTGTCTTTATCTTAAATAGGTTACGTGTGGTATAGATGTAAGACACGTAAGAAAATTGTGATCAATTAATATAAATATATGCACGTGTTACATCAAGATCGGTGGAAAATAAATGCAAATTGTTTATCAACAACTATTGCCTTAGATATAAATTATGGAAGTTTGCTAAAAAAATGTAGAAATTTAAAACGAGGTTTTAGAAAATGCCATATGATAATTTGTCTATATTTAATCGTTAAATTGGAAATATCGACGAAATTTGTCGATTTTAGCAAAAATTAAGAGCTTATTCAACATCTCGTGAAATTTAGACTTTAACCCATTTTTCACATTTTTTTTTCTTCTGATGTTTATGATATTTCACAAAAATATCAAACGTATCAAAAAAAAAATTTAAACACTAGTTGTAAGAAAATCACATGACATTATTGTGGGGCAACCAAAAATTTACTTGCTTGACTCTTTACCGAAATTTTCGTTCATGAAATTTAGTTAATATTTTAAATATTTTTTTAAGTTTTTAATAATTTTTTAATAAAAAATAAACCCCGCCTCATTAGCATTTAACAGAGGAACTGACGGAATGTATGATATTGCAACAAATTCGAATATAATGTATGACATTGAAACTTTTTAAAGACAATGTATGAAATTGTTAATAACTCAATAGTTGATGTAGTTTTTTGTAATTTACCTATAAATTTTTATACGATTTCTTAACATTCTGACATGCAATAATTGTTCATAATGCAACTCGACTCCTACGAGTAATATTCCCACACATTATACATTCATTATTAATATATAAATAGAACTAGAAGGCACGTTGTCTGCAAATTCATAAATAAATACATTAATTAATTTATCTGCTATATTATTTGGATTTTGAGTAGTTGTGAACCATTCTATATTTATTTATTTTATTTTTTACTTTGAACGTCTTTTGGCTTGACAATATACAAATGTTATGTGAAAGAAAATATGAATTATAATATTATATTATTAATGAAAAACACTTTTCATGGGTGAATAACGACAAAGAAATTTTGTAATGGTCAAGTTGCAACATGTTACATGTATATATGTGCAGTTTGGAACTGCGACTGTACGTGCCACAACCACAATACAACATTTGACAGCGCTCCTTTTCCATGATTTTATTATATTATATGCCAACACGTTTTGCTTTGTGTGGAGTATATATTTGCCTCAAACCATATTTTGCATGTGAAAGAATCTACGTCATTAACCATGCAATCTTATCTTATGTTTTTATAATGTGCATTTGTCCTTTTATAAATACATCTAGTGAGTTGAATATTAATTAGGTCGATTATTCGTATTATAAGACATGAAATAATAAATCTAAGTAACGATATTTTGATACACACAAGTTTCTTCTAATGATTTGTTGATTATGGACTCATTTGGAATATCTTTAAAATAATTCAAAGTGCTTAGCAAATTTTTTCCTGTTTTTAAAAGCATTTGAAGTGTTTTGTCAGGATTCATTTACATTTTACAAAAAATTAATTTCAAAAATACGTTGACAAAAAAGCATTTTAAGTCATTTTAGAAAGAAAACTTTCATGAAAAAGGTTTGGGCCAAGTTTATTTTAACAAAAAATCATGCAATAACTTTATTTAATAAAAAATAAATAAATATTAATGAAAAACCCTTAAATTTTAATAAAAAAACAAAAGAACTTAAATTTTAATAAAAATGACATAATTTTAATATAAAAAAATATATTTATGAAAGCGGTACTACACTATTTATTGGTCCAGTTTCATAAATAGCGTCTAGTTCTTTGTCTACTTTCATAAATAGTGTCTAACTCTTGGTCATGTTTCATAAATAGTGCTTAATTATTGGGTCGAGTTTCATAAATAGCGTCTAGTTCTTTGTCTACTTTCATAAATAGTGCCTAACTCTTGGTCATGTTTCATAAATAGTGCATAATTATTGGGTCGAGTTTCATAAATAGTGTATGGTAATGGTACAATTTCATAAATACTGTCTCTTTCTTGGTCCAATTTCATAATAATGCTTAATTATTGGTCCACTTTCATAAAGAGTGCTTAGTTCTTGGTCATGTTTCATAAATAATGTCTAGTTATTGGTCAAGTTTCATAAATGGTTTCCACATATTGGTTTAGTTTTAGAAATAGTGCGTAATTATTGGTTTTGTTTCATAAATAGTGTTTACTTATTGGTTCAGTTTCATAAATAATGTATATTTATTGGTCAAGTATTATAAATAGTATCTAATTCTTTGTTCAATTTCATAAGGTTTTGAAACTTAAACCCTGTTTGGTCCTATAAAAGCATCCATTGCGCCGAAACCGATGAACCAGAAGTGATCCTTTAGATCAAAACATTGGGAATATGATATTCTCAATAATTATATTTAAAAACTATTTTCAATTACCAAATTAAAATACTGGATACTATTTAAGTGTGGGAAATTTTTCCTTATGTCCGTAACACAAGCGGTACATCACATGTCATTATGTAAGTGGTGGAAACTTTTATTTTTATGTTATTAATTTTTTAACACAAGAATCTCATCACTTGTATAAGGACACGTTGTGTACCACCCCATATTCTGAGAAAATTGAAAAATCTCTCATCATCTTGACTACTATTGAGAAACAACATCACAAAAATAAAATTGGGGAATGTAATTCAATTTAAAGTCTTTTTCTTATTATAAGAAAAGAAAGAAGGAAAACTAATGAAAATGACTTGAAAACTTTGAATTTTAACGATAAAGACAAAATAAAGGGTAAATTGAATAGTATCATGATTGACTTTTTAGTGTAAAAATGTGGTTTTTCGTTAAAGTGAACAATATCGAAAACTTTTCGTTAAAGTTCCAAAAAAAAAATCTATTAATGCAGCCGACAATGGGAGAAAAAAGTGGAGTGTGGAAAAAGAGACTGGGTGGGGGTGGTGTTTGTAGGCATGGCCTTTTGACCAACTCCAAAGCAATTGGTATATGGGTTTCCACAATGCGTACGACAAGCAAAATATGAAGGATTTGTTACATCAGTTTATAGGGAATTTTAACAAAAAACTTATGGTACTGTTCACTTTAATGAAAAAACATATTTTTACACTAAAAAATCAATTATGGTACTATTTACTTTACTATTTATTTTGTCATTATTATTAAAACTCATAGTTTTCAAGTTTTTTTCATTAATTTTCCTCAGTTTATATGGGGACACGCCCAACACAAGTTGGGTTCTCTATGTTTTTTTTATTTTTTATTCTTTTGTCTTTATCATTAAATAAAGTTAGTAGATGATTTTTGATTAAAATGTAAAGATTTGAAACTATTTTCATTAATTTTTCTTTTTAAAAACAATTTCAAGCAAGCTATGTGTGTCACATCCCGGCCCGGGCCCTTACATCCCGGGCTTGACTCCGGCGTAATACAATATTGTTTGTTTTGGATCCCGACTACGCCCTTACGATTTTGTTTATGGGAACTCACACGAGAACTTCCCAGTGGGTCACCCATCATAGGATTGCTCGCGCGCGAACTTGCTTAACTTCGGAGTTAAGATGGAGCCTGAAGCTAATGAACTCCCAAAATGCATTGTACTAGGAAGAGATGAGCATGTACATATAAGGCATAGAGGATCCACTCCCTTGAGCGATGTGAGATGTTACACTGTGTATTAAAAAAAAAAAAAAAGACTTAGAGCACACCATAATGCAAGTATAAGTTTGGCAACATTAAATAGTAAGCACGAGAGAACTCAGAAGTAAAACATCCATAATTAAATTAATTTCATTTTAATTAACCGCATAATCAGTCCATGGATATCATTGTAGATGGTACCATCGATAATCCGGTTATCCAGTGCCCAACTCTGTATCTTCCCCTTCACTACCCCTCCATTTTCAAACTTGGAAGATGGAAATTTTGTAGTTACTAAAAGTCTAAGGGGCATCACCGTCATTTCAAACACAGGCTGGATCGTGGAGGCGGTAGTAGTTTGCAACTTTAGCTCCAACAACACCAAACAACCCAAAAGCTCATATATAAAATAATAAATGAACCCCAAAAATTAAATAAAACCAAGCTTTTTTTTTTAGTCAAAATGTCATACCTTCTTACTGGGATCTCTAGGATTTAAATTAAAAGAAGATTGCTCACTTTCAATTATTTTTTTATCGTTTTGTGAAAATCTCAGTTAAATTGAAGAAAACACCAATTCAAGTAGAGAGTTTGATTTGACAAAAAAAACCCTCAATTTAACGATGATTTTTTACAGAATGATCAAAATTATCTGTGGTGGACAATCAAAGGAATTTTCTATTGGTTTTAAATCTCAGAGTGTAAAGTGATGAGTTACATCAATTTTAAAGATAATTTACTATTTAATTTTAATTTGTTATTTTAAAGGAAAATCAGGAAAGGACTTTTTGGTCTGTGCGGCGTGGACTTTTTGCAGAAGTTCAGATCCACAAATCCGAAAAATACCAAAACAAAACAGACAGACGCAAACTTCACACGGAAAGAAAGAAAGAAAGAGAAAACGAGAGTTTAAATGGTTAGTTGAAGGAAATACTCTCTCGCTTTTGTCCCCCTTTGTTTTCGGATTTTGATCCAATGGCTGACAACCAAGAGCAACCGCCCACGCCGCCGTCCGGACCATCGCAACCGTCGAAGCCCGCAGCGACTCATCATCCTCCCCGCCCCACGATCACTCTCCCGCAGCGCACCTCTTTCGAATCAATCTTCAGCTCCGCCGGCGGCGGGAATACTGGGCCCGGTCTGGGCCTGGGGTTCAGCCCCGGACCCATGACTCTCGTCTCCAACTTCTTCTCCGACGGCGGCGACGACTGCAAGTCCTTCTCCCAGCTGCTCGCCGGAGCCATGACGTCTCCGTCGCCGAGGGCGCTGGGGTTCCCGCAGCTCGAGGAGCGAAATTCCGGCGACGGCGATGGAAGTTCGGATTTCCGGTTCAAGCAGAACAGACCGCCGCCTATGTTTTCGGTCCCGACGCCGTCCGGGTTTCTCGACTCGCCGGGAATCTTCTCACCCGGTCAGGTACACCCCTCGTCAATCACTTCCTCCATTTATTTACTGAATTACTGTTACCATTGCTTGTATGCTTATCAGGGAGCTGGGATTTTTTTGAAAAGTTTACTTTTTTTTAGTCCGATTTAGATAAATAAAATAACTCGTCTTTAGTTACTGCGAAAACTGGGAAATTTGTTACTCTTGGAAAATTATTTAAAAATTTTGTTGAGAAAAGAAAGCAGTGAGTTAAATGGCGGCAAATTAAGGCAGAGGATTTGAGATTCTAAATTTAGTAACTTTTAGAGGGTTTGAGATTCTAAATTTAGTAACTTTGAGAGGATTTGAGATTCTAAATTTAGTAACTTTTTGCCCCTTTTTTTACCCCTTTGGCGGGGAAGGGGAATCTGCCAAATTCTGGGTTATTAGAATTGATTCACTTGTTTGTTAGGACAATTGGGTAAAAGCTAGGTCAGTTGCACCGGAGTTGAAATCCGTCTTCCTGTAACTTAGACGCGGGTTAGGTCAGTTGGCTAGTCTATTTGTAGGCTTGGTTCAAAACAGTTATCAAACGATTTTCATGTTTTCAGTTTTCCGAAAACAAAAATCGACTTGAAACTAGAAGCTGAACCGTTTTTTGGATTTTTAATTTTTCGAGATGATATTGTATTTTACACTAACATGCGGGAGTGGGGTTTGAACTTGGGTACAAGGGGCGGGCACACTGCAGTAGCACACATTGGCCTGGTTCCGGGTTCTTAGGATTGATTCACTTGTTTGTTAGGCAAATTGGGTAAGGGTACTCCAAAAGTATGCATATGAGACTTGTCTGATTGGTACCACCTATATAAGTTATATTGGTTTCTTATGGTTGTGATTTATGAATTGTTGTAGGGACCCTTTGGAATGACACACCAGCAGGCACTAGCACAGGTCACGGCTCAGGCTGCTGCACTCTCCCCATCCTTTTTCAATTTCTCAACTGAGCATTCAACATCTTTCTCAACAGCACCCGCCACAGTGTTGACACAGCCTCCATCCTTTACTTCCGATACAACACCACCACAAGAGATACCGTCTGGAACACCTGACTTTGCCGTTGCGACAAAAGAATCATCTGACATTTCCCTTTCAGATCAGAGATCCCAACTGTCTTCATTTACTGTCGATAAGCCTAATGATGATGGTTACAATTGGCGGAAGTATGGACAGAAGCAGGTGAAAGGTAGTGAATTTCCTCGAAGTTATTACAAGTGCACCCATCCAAATTGTCCAGTAAAGAAGAAGGTTGAACGCTCGATTGAAGGACAAATAACTGAAATTATTTACAGGGGCGAGCATAATCATGAACGTCATCAGTCCAAGCGTCCCCTCAATGGAAATAGTCAGGCAAATTCCGACTTAGCTTCCCAAGTTCATGGTGGGAATTTGAACAAACCAAAAGAAGGGACAGGTCCTTATTCAATGTCTAAGAAGCGTCAGGAATCCAGCCAAGCAACACATGATAATTTATCTGGGACAAGTGACAGTGAGGAAGTAGAAGATGCGGAAACCAGAGTTGATGAGAAAGATGAAGATCAACCTGACCCCAAGAGAAGGTAGATATTTTATCTTGATAAGCATATGCACATGCTTGCGGGCATTATGCTACTTGTTTGTCATGTATTCCTAACAAAATTAACTTTTATTTTCCAGAAACACCGAGGTCAGGTCAGAAGCAGCGGCAGCTTCTACACATCGGACTGTTACAGAGCCTAGAATCATAGTACAGACAACCAGTGAAGTCGACCTCTTAGACGATGGTTACAGGTGGCGAAAGTATGGGCAAAAAGTCGTCAAAGGCAATCCTTATCCACGGTAATACTGTTTCTCAATATTTCTAAACTCAGTGTTATATACAGTTTTATTCCATTGATGTCACGATGTTTTCATTTTTATGTTGCCTAACGTATTCAATCAAACGGGTATATTCCTTCTTGTATGGTTGGTTTAAAAATTTCCTGATTTGTCTTTGCTGCATTTTACAGGAGCTATTACAAATGCACGTTCCCTGCATGTAACGTCCGTAAGCACGTAGAGAGAGCCTCAACAGATCCTAAGGCTGTCATAACAACATATGAGGGCAAGCATAATCATGATGTACCAGCTTCTAAAACCAGCAGCCACTACACAGGCAACAACAATGCATCGATTTTAAGATCAACGAATCCAGGAAATGGGAAGGTTAACCAGATGGATCTTAGAAACAGGGACCAGCAGCCTATAGCAAGTTTACGTTTAAAAGGAGAACAAATAACATAGTTTGGGTTGTACCGAAAAAACAAAACCCCCATAGTTTCTGTGAGTTTCATCAATCAGGAAAGAAAGCAGGAGCCGGAGAACTTGAAATTTCCACGAAGCAGGCAAAATTTGTAAGTTATCGTTGCCCGAATCTGCTGCTCACTACAGGCTGTAGATTTGATCAAGGCCCTGTTACCCAATTGCTAATGTACAAAGGAAAGAGGTAATTATGGAAGGAAGAAGTCGGGTCAAATTTTTTTGTTGCATGTAAACTAGTTAACAAGCATACTGTGTTGAAATTTACAACTTCTGTGCATTCTTTTGTATATGTAAACAGTGATGTAGGCTTATATGATTATTTACGCTTGCGTTTGGTAATGTTGTATCGATGTTTGAACTGAAACTCCAAGAAAATTACTTCTACTTTCCGGTTGCCTATTTCTGTTTTGTACTTCTGTTTTTGTTCTTGCTTGCCGCTTGGTAGTCCGTCCTTAGTTCTTTTGCTGTAATGTGGGTTGTAAGGGAGTTTTTGTTGCTGTGTCAACACACACCAATCTTTGCACATCCGACATTGTTGAACAAAACTTTGTGCTGATCAACGATTAATCGATGGCATGTACAAGAAAAAGCCCTGATCCGTTTCTTAAAGCCCTTTACGTCCTCGTTCTTATAAGCTTTATCGACGTGATTAGATACGGGTAAAGATCTAATGGCCGAAGACAGATAGGAAACGCATGGTTTTAACTAAAAAGAATAAGCGTACAGATACAGATGCCATTTTGCACAAGAACAGTAGTACGGCATTTGCAGTTCATTTCTCTGTATGCCCCTTCTTGCACCATTGAATTAGGTCGAAGCGACCGAATGTTAACAAAACATGGCATTTGATTGGTGTTTTGGCCGGAATTATAGACTTTTAAAGTGTAAACCCTCCAGGATACAGGTGAGATGCCCGTCCGAGTTAATCGTCCATAGTTATGAGAGTCGGAATTTGACCATGGTTCACAAATTCAATCTTGTTCAAGCGCAGGCAGCACAAGACTTGCTCTGGCAATTCCTCTTGTTTTTGTGCCTGCCAACACCGTCAAACAAAACTCAAATTTACAGAAATGCAGGATGCACATTTACTGTTACAGTAAATGGTAAGTTTGTGAGTTTACCTGGATTGTTAATCCCAAATCAAGTACCCCATTCTTCAAAGTCTCTCTGAATGATTCAAGTCCTTTCCTGGATATGTAGCTAAACCTATGTATATCTAGGTCAATCTCAAAGTAATTAGGTCCCTGCCAAATAAATTACCAAAAAAAAAAAAAATAGTTTAGTATTAAAACCGAAAAAAAACCTCGGTAAGAGAGCATGACCACGTGGCCCGTCAAACACTATCACAAAGAGTTAGACCCTTGTACATGGGAAATTGTACCCATGTGAGGTCCGTTTCTTTAAAAGAGTGGCATGACCAACCACGTGATCAGGCTGCCCTACATAAGTATTTGTCCTAATAACATCGAACTAGAAAGAGTTTATCGTTTTCATTTTACCCTGAAGAAATTGTGTTGAGGGCGTGAAAGAACTGGCTTATCATTGTAAGCATGTATGAGCTTTCTTTCAGTAGAACTCAACTGGAGGTCATCTGGATTGACCAATCCAGCCATGATCTTTAGCCTTTCCCTGAAAGGAACCACAGACTCCTTTGCAAACCCCTTCACCTTCTCAGTCTCATCCTCAACAAATTTCTGAGACAGAAAAACAAAGCGTTGTTAGTAAAACCGTCTTCTTTGCGCACGGATCAAAGATGTGGGATATCCGAAAATTCACGACGAAATTTACCCTGATGCTGTCTTGAAACTGAGGTGATATCTCTTTTTCAAAGTTTTCATTCACTTTGAAATATAGCACAAGACTCATGCCTTCCCCATCGCATTCGCCGAGGAACATTGTTGTAGGATAAGTAGGCAACTGCAACAACAACACCAGAATCAATGCCCCCGAAAACACAACGAAAACTGATCTGCGGCAAATTATTTTGAGGTATGGAGGGAGATACACAGAGTACCTGGATGTTAACAATGAGGAGGGAAGGAACTTTGTCATGTGGTTTTACAGAAGGAAGCTCAAGATGCTGGGCAATGTGATCTCTCTTTCGCGGGCAGATGAACAAATCGACACCAATTGGTACGTACGAGCTGCAGTTTGGAGCCGGGTACTTCAGTTTATCTCTGCACATTTCCACAATTTCATCCTTAGACAGCGGCACTCTGACAAAAACAAAACAAAATTAGTAACACGAAAACAAGCGATGTACTTGAAGTAATTCTCGCCGCGGAGCTTGAATACTGAGGGTGGAACTGGAGACCAGGATCCCGGTGCTGGCTTCTCTTCCGTTGAGCAAGGGATTCGAAGTCCTGCTCTTGGACGGAATAAGTACTTCTGATCGGACGCACCTGTTCATCCATTGTCGCACATTTAGTATTGTAGCAGGGAGCACGTAGGCACCGATAAATTGTTACTTAGACTCTAACTTCAAATTTTGATCACATTTACTACTTACTTTTCCTTTCGCTGTCGTCAACGGATTTCCTCTTGTAAGAAAGCATAATCACAGCCGCGGGGTTCTTCTGATTCTTGTCGTTGAAACTCACTTGGGTTGTCTCGACAGAATGGCGTGCATTTCCATCTATTTTTAGGTAACTTTCGTAGAACCCTTCGTACTTACATCCATTATCGACAATGCATGATGCGGTTTCATACTGCACCAGTTGAGCATTTGGGATGTTCCCTGCTAAAGGAAACCCATCTGGCACCCAAAAAACAAAGAACTAGTTTTAGCCACCGAAAATTCACAACTGCCACAAAAAAAACAGGAAGGATTAAATTAAAATTAACTGGTGATTTAAGTGCGTTATTACCTCCATGCACACTGCAGAAATCGTCTTCTGAATCGGATTCCATCATGCTTAGTGAGTCAAACCATGCTTCCCCTGGGGCCTTTCCCTACACGAAGTTGTAATCTGTACGGTGAAAAAAACTCGGGAAATATATATAGATAGAACTTTTCGCAAATCTTCGATCAAAAATATACTTTTTACCCTAAAAAGACACTAAACATGTTATAAAACACGTTTTATCATCCATTAATTGTTTGTTTAATGTCCCTGTAGTGAAAAAAGTTCATATATGATATGACTGAAGAAGTGAAGATTTATACGTAGTTCTATGTATATTTTAATTTCCCTAAAGTATTTGAAGTAAGATGGGTTCTGTTGGTGCTAACTTTTCATGATGCTCCATTTCTAGTTGAAAAAAAAATATGAAAACTAAAAACCAAGACACGAAATGGTTATCAAACGGGTCTTCAACATTTGAAACATACCGCCATTTGCATCTATTTGACTGTGGTTCCACTGAAGCTGAGTGAGATGAAATGTTCCATTAGAAACCTCAGATCTCTTGCAGGTTGTTGCAGCACCTTTCTCGAAGTCAAGATGCACAAACTCACTCACAGACTGTCTTTTAGGCGCATCGGGAATGGCAGCGGAGGCAACCTTCTTCGTCTTCCTCCCCTTAATCCGGCGTTTGCCGGATCTGTGGACCTTTTTCTGATGAGCTTTGATAGTTTCATGTGGTCTTGAGTAACAAACGCCCATGGCAGCTAAGTTTCTTCAAGTAATGCAGATAAACTTAACCTGCAAGGCAAATATAGAACTCCGGTTTTAGAACAAACACCGGAGTCCGGACTCCTTCAGTGACTAGGATCAAGGTTCTAAAAGAAGTTAGTACTAGTCAGGCGGTAGGCTGGGTCTAGCACTTAAGCAATTAGGCGGGAGCTTAACCGGGCGCCTAAAAGGATTAGATGGATTTAAGTAGATCTATTATATTTCGTGTAAATAAATGTTTGTTTATATTTAAAAGAGTAAATTGTACAAATGGTCCCTCAACTTTAATCAAATTGGAGCAATGGTCCCTCAACTAAAAATCCATTACCATTGGTCCCTCAACTTATCAAAATATGTAGCTATAGTCCTTTTCATCAATTTTGTCAAAATTTTGTCAAAATAAGCTATGTTGGAATGACCATTTTTATAATTAGGGTCTCTCAACTCATCAAAGTGTATAATTATGGTTATTTTCGTCAACTATGTCAAAAAATTTGTCAAAACGAGTTATATTGTAAGGACCATTGCTACAATTGGATTAAAGTTAAAGGACTATTTCTCCACTTGAATTAAAGTTCAGGGACCAATGGTAATGGATTTTTAGTTGAGGGACCATAGCTGCACGTTTTGATAAGTTGAGGGACCAAATGTAATGGATTTTTAGTTGAGGGACCATTGCTCCAATTGAGTTAAAGTTAAGGGACCATAGCTACAATTTACTCTATTTAAAATATATATAATTTTATCATAAACTACAAAATAGAATAACATATATAATATGAAGTATTAGAATATAAAGAAAAAACAAGCATATAATGTGTGTTCATTTAAGTATTCAATAAGTCACTTACAATTTATTTAAAAAAAATACAAAATGAAAGTTATATATTTTGTTTAAGTGAGTCGCAACCTAATTGGATGCCTAGGCAGTAAGGGCGCATCAGCAGATCTAGATGCCATTTCTTAATTTTCAAACGTCTAGGCATTAATCGAGACGATGACCAACCGTCTAATGCCGTGACTGAATCTAAGCAACATTAGACAAAAAAATTTAGAACAGTGACTAGGATTGGACTGTACTGGATAACTCTGTATAATACAGAGTAAGTTTGAATATGCAAATTGACTTTGACGATGAATGGAGTTCTAAGTAGATGGGATCTGCATTAATGTGGAATCTAACATATTTCCTGCTAAGACGTATTGAAGTTGGCATGGCCCCAATCAGTCCAATCAAATTATAAACATACAATTAATGCACAAGTTTCTTTTAAATTTTGTACTAGAGGCTGATATATTGCAAACATTCAAAATAAAAAATAATTTGTTTTTCAATGCATGCATGAAACTCAAGACTACCCAGTATTTCTTGAAAAATTCTCGATAGAATTACTGCAACAGCAAAAAATATTTGTCTATGCACGTAATGCATGTTTGATACTTACCGAGTTTTCTTTCCCTAAATATCGATATCGGTTGTCTTTGGCAGAAATTATGGAAAATTGCAGTGGGATAGTATATCAACTCATTCAGATTTAGTTGAAATTAAAAAAAAATTCAAAAGTTTGAAATTTGTAATAGATTATGATAAAATTTATGTAGTGAATCGAAAAACATCATTGATATTAAATGGTTTTCTTAAATCTCACCACTTCACCCTCCTTCCCATATTGATCCTTAATTTTTCAAGTATTTCAACAGACATATTAACAATTTTGTAGATATTTTAACCATAACAATTTAACCCCTAATACTATCGTTTACTTAAAAAAAAAAGAATTACAT